CACCTAGGAGCAAAATGTTTGGCCGAGGGAGTTCATTTTTTAAGAAATTGAGAGTTCGCTGGAGACAGAGAAAACAAGTTCAGCAAATAAATGAACGATGCGTCACCGGCAACAGTTCAGCATACCTTTCTTCGAGATGATTTTAAGGAAAAAAGACGCTCGCTATATTAAGGCGACCAAAACGATAGGTACAATAATAATGACAGAACTAACAAAAGTAACAACAACCATTACTATCGAAACTAAAACAACTTCAACAGTAATAAAATAACGAGAGCGAATTGACCGCCACTGAAAAACCGAAAATCTCCAAGGTCGCTTCGGTTTCCACCATCGGAGCCGTACGAATGCTGTCGCTTCTCACACTGGCAGTAGGCTCCTACCCAAATGAAAAACGTACACAGCCAGCCTACGGGCACAGTTGACAAGCCGACGAAGACACCCTGACTAATCCATCTGCTTGTTTGTCATAACCTTAACACAACCATTTCCTCGAGCACCGTTTTTTACTCCATCAAAAACGGAGACAAACCGCTCAGAGACGAGAAGACTTCACCACAGTAGCGCAGCATAGGACACTAGTCACGCAACGACGGTAGCGGCACTAACGGTGGCCGCAGGAGACAGATGTTATGAGTGGTAATAGCCCACGGCAAAGCGGGGCATTACTAGCAATGGGGCGCATCGTCGATGCTAATCAGCTGATGCCATTGCAGCAACCCGCCGCTGCCGCCGTCACCACTCTACTCGTCGTCATCCATTCACTAGTTTAACGTATATAGCATAGTGCAAAACAATGCAATGCAATCGTATAGTAGAAGCTAGTTTTATGATAATGATCAAAATAACAATTATTATGAACGGCTGCATCAGCTTCGCTAGCATTAGCGTCACCGATCGCGACCATGAATGACCGTCAATTCGATATACGACAACACATCAGACTACAGGACAGCCATCGCAAACAACAATAATTGCGCTAGTAACGCTGTCAATCGAGCTACTAGTTGCTATTACTACCAATACTAGTGTAGCTGCGACGAAATTACGTTAAATTCATGCTTAGAATGGCGTGCCGGAGGAGAACATCAGCAAGAGGATCGGTAACAGAATGCTGCAACGGAACAAAATAGCGACACGAATGAACGAGTTGAACAAAGATGATGCAGAAACAACGGAAAGAGCCTATATCTGTCGCTGTACGGGCGGCGAGAAATCGCAGTGAGTGATGATGATTCCAGCAATATTAATAGCGCCAACTGCAGCTGCAGCTGATGCTGTGCTGGATGGTGGCGGTAAGATGATATGATAGAAAGAAGATAAGTAGATCTTTAAACGACTTGTGGTGCTGTCGGTGGTTCCTGATACCGGGATGGAGGCTAGAGCAGTCTTGGCTGATTGGCCTATGATAGGTATTTGTCTTGTCACTTATCGGTTCACTTAAGCAATCGTGTATTTATCTGTTGCTATCTATCGCTATGTTCTTCTCGCGCGCTTGTTGATACGATCAAGAAATTCATCGACTTGTGTATTTTTGTAGCATTGATATGTGCTAAAACGCCGCCTTCGGGCAGCAATCACCGTCCGTAATATTAAAGATATATTTCGTTTGACTTCAGTGTTTGAGATGGTCGTATTCGTCGGGCCGTCTAGTTGCGTTGAATCCAAAAACAATTCAACACAGAGCTGAGCTGGAGAAGGGCCTTGAGAACAATACGATGTCAAATGGGACTGAACGGTGGTAACAACCTGCAGAGACCTCTGTGCAAATGCTGAATAGCGAAACGCTATCATCACGCAATCCTAGACATAATCACTACACTTACAATGATGGCTGACCTTAAGCAACAGAAAGTTGCTGATTCCCAATTTGCTCCAATATTAATGCAGTGACGATAAACAGAACGGAAAGATATCACTCGCACTGCAAAACCGTTATTTCCTTGTCGCCTCTATGAACACACGGCCGGCAGTTAATCCTCCAACGAGATACGTTCGCGTCGATGACTCGCAGCATAGCATAGCACTAATTAAGTCCGCACGGCGAAACTCCACTGACACCGGCATCAGGATACTTCTGGACTCCCATACACCAACGATGCGATCTTTTTCATTACCACCAATAACTTTTCTTCGATTGTTTCAACCAACCCCCGATTATCTCCTCGCTTTTCTCCTCAGACTGCGACAAAGTACATCACTTGTACACGAATAACCGTGGTAAATAGAATTATTGTAACAGCCACATCCATTTACTGACCACCAAGCTATTGATTATCGCTAATTTATCAACGTATTATGGCAACTGCAGTACACCTGTTGCCTTCTTATGCTTTCCATTTACGAAGCTGATCGTCCTCTCGACGTGAAGAACGGCTGTACACACACACAATCGCAATACAAAACAACACTGAGTCGTGTCGAACACTCATTTACTAGCCTATGTCACAGGCCCTGTAGCTTTGCCCCAATTGATCTTTTCCAGAGGCTGGGTCCACTAGTAGGGAGTGATCAGCAGAGACGTACATTTAAACAGAAAGGCTGCGGCGGTTAACACCTAGCTTTACCCCCGACGCACCAAATCAATGAGCTGCCGCTGCCGCCGCCGCTCGACTTTTGTTGTTCATTTTTTTGCGCTTCTCTATCTGTTTTTTTCGCTCGGTCAAGTGCTCAACCCTTCTCACTTAGCCCTTGCTGTTCATTCGCAGCTCGCCATTCAGACGATCGACGTTGTTAGCCGAGTCCCCAGCAGCTCTCGGTCGTCAACGACGACGAAGGAGATGATGATGATGATGATGATGATGATGACGATGACGAGTTGCCGTCAGACTACGACTACCATATTTCACGTCGTTCTCATGCTATATACGAAAACAGCAATCTCTACTCTGGTTCCTGTTCCTACAACTGCTGCTAGTGCTTCCGCTGCAGTGACTACCGCTACTGCCACCACTGGACAGCTATTACATGTTTGGCAGAAGTGGGGTAGTGCTGGGGCTGGTCTTAGCTAGGCGTTGGAACACCACCCATATACAAAACCCACACAGGAGGCACTGGCCACGGCACCGGAGGCAGCAGGCAAGCAATCGGATGGACGCAGCAGCGGGGACCAGCCGAAATGTAGATCTGTGCTGCGCGTGTAGATACAAGTGGAGACAGTCGCTGACTGCTTGCTTGGTTAGTTCGCTGACTGCTTCGACAGTCAGCGGAAAGAAGCAACGGCTGCGCCAGTCCCACTGGTGCTAATACCAATACGGCGCTGGCACATGGATGTGTTAGAGCGACACAGCAAACAGCCTACGGAGGAACAAGACTCACAGCCGACCGCAAGGCCGAACAAGGCACTGAGCATTTGTAGAGTAATTAACAGCGGTGGTGGTGCCGCTAGCTATCGCTGGAGCAACCGCCCAGATACAGCGCACAATACAGGACATGCAAGGCAACAAAAAAGTTGACTGCTACATAGGAAAAACCTACTGCTAAATAGACAGACTACATCAGCAACAGAAATGGCCAGTAGCAGCTGTTTTTAAACAAGAGCAGACGATGCCGGAGCAGGACAAGACCCGCTTTACACGGACCACACACCGTAGGTGGGGAAACTGCTTCTGTGGTACGGCGAACTGTAGTCAGCTGTGTTGGTGATGATCCTAAGCAGTCGTGCGGATACGTGGAGCAGAAAGAGCATGGAAATGTCAATGAGGCTCAACTGCAATTAGACAGATAACAACTAAGCAGAACAATAAACGAATGAATGAGTTGAAAATGGACCAGGCGCTCATAAATATCGATGTTTGTATCAATGACTTAGCGGTTTCGGCATCCTGTGGGGAGTGTAGCAAAATACAAATGTCTGCAGAAACCTGCAAAAAAAAAAGATGAATCAACGAAAAAGAGGGTCATGGTGAATTTTGAGTACAGTTTGTGAAAATTCAGGTCATTCATGAGTAAGTGGCAATAATGATAGCTGTTTAGGCACTCCATCGTTCCTCACTCCTACAGCTGCAGGAACAGTTCAAGTAGATTTGCCAAGTATTCGCTACCAATGAGTAAATCTGTTACATCGTCTATAACACTGTTGACAAAATTGAATATGTCGTCGAGGAGTTAGCCTCGAAAAATTGGCATGCAAGAACCCCTATTACATTCACAGCTTTTAAAAGCTAGCTAAAAAAAAAAAACAAAAAAGTGAGCTTCTTACTGGTACAGTTATTCAATCTAAAGCGGAATAATACAGAGGTGTTATTGTCAGATTATTATGCTTTTCTTCGGCATATTTTAGAGATTGTGATTGGGAGAAAACGCCAAGTATAACTACTTATGAAAACTAACTGAAGAGGTTATCTTTCATAACTATTTATCAAGCGAGGAAGAGCATGTAAAATACTTGAGCGAAGTAGTTAAGAAACGCCTCTTGGAAGTATGTAACGTGCTGCATGTAAAAATACGCGAGTCAGGAAATTAGCTTTTTTATGAAGCAAAAAAACTTGTCACTGGAAGAAAATGTGCTACCACAGTAAAAAACGAAACCAAAAGTAAATCCGTCCCTAGGAATTTCTTAGAACTTCTTTAATGTCTTACAATATATATCGATTGTATTTTCATGGGAGCTTCTGCGAGGTGGGTTGTTCTTGTCGTCGCTTGAAAGTCAAAGCAAGCTATAATTTTCATACCAGTTTTTCCTAAAAAGGATTTATGCCGACCAATTCTAACTGTAAAGAAGCATAAAAAAAATAACATTAAACCGCATAACTAAACAGTCAGATTCACAATTTGTTCATTGAACCTTCGTAATAGATTCGTTTAATTCCTCTATGTGGGTCCGTGGGGCATTCCCGATACACAGACACTATGCCATTTATGCGAACAGGCAACGTTCTTTGTTATTTTGACACGGAAAATAAAAAAGTCAACAAGAATTTTCCTTACAGGAATGTAATTTTGCTGCTGGGCTTGCGTCTTTCTCGATTTCAATTTTTTTTCCGTATATAATTTATCTAGAAACGGTATTAGTTGAATTACTTGCCTCTCCCTTCCATTAACGAACGCGTTCCTCTTATCGTCTGCTTAAGCTGAGATGTGATCTTCTAATGCGGAGATTGTGCATTTTTAATATAGCATAGAATCTTATCCATTTGATATAGGTAGCTTTTCAGCAAGTTCGAATCAACAGTTCGTTCTGCATTCTGCAAAGGTCCGGGCTGGCTGCGCAAAGTCGCATCTGTCGTTACACTTCAGAGCAACAGGCAGGATCATCCATCATCAACTAGTATTTTCGGTCCGTCTTGTTCCACTGTCACTGAAAACATAACGTTAGCTCCCGGCTGTGCAAGCGAATCTATTCCAGAGCAGCTCTACACACATCGCAATGGCTTCTGCCGGCTATGTGAGTAAAATATTATTGTTTGTTTTTGTGTGCGTTTTCGTTCCTTTAAAGTGTGTGCTGTGCTATCTAGCTATTGGAGCGGCTAAACTTGGTGCCAAAATATAAGACCAAGTTTAGACCCTATAAGGTCTATCACTCCAAACGGTGCTGGCGACGGGGCTGACATTCCAGGAGGCCACGGACCACTGTGCCGGATCGGAAAGAGACACGTGTACTCATGCTAAATAAGACAAAACAAAAATGTAAACAGCGCACTACTGAGCGTTGTTGGACACATATTGCATAATTTGGTAAATACTTTCTCAACTGAAAACATCAATTAAGCCGAAGTTCTTCTTTATTAATATCCCGAATGTTCGTCGGTTTTAAAAAAATTTTTGTTTCACTACAGTTATCGCATGTCAAGAAGCATTTCGACAAAACGCAACAGAGCTAACAACCTTTTCAAGACTCAGTTGAGTTTAATAAAGTAGTTCGTGATGCTTTGCATTTAATATTTGAGTCAAACAATATATGAATACATTTGCACGTGAGATTGCCGCACCCCGTAGTTATAAAATTGGTGCTAGGTTATCAATGATCCATTAAATTGTTACAGACTATAACAGTGTTCGAACTAATTTACAATTTAGGCGCGCATTGTACGGCATCACTTATGCGAATGGTTAATTTCACGTTCACGATATGGAAAATAAATATCTGACCGGCAGGAAACCGGCAGCTTACCAAAGTGAGCTTCTTACTGGTACAGTTATTCAATCTAAAGCGGAATAATACAGAGATGTTATTGTCAGATTATTATGCTTTTCTTCGGCACATGGTTAATGGAGCCGTCAGCTTAATTAATTGTTTATAATCGATAATATATCGACGAACATCGATGAAAAATGATCAACAGCGTCGTCTAATTTATCATGTTCAGTGCTTCCGTACGCTATTCAGTTTCATAGCACAACTTATTTCTAAAAGTAAATAACTTGTCAATGAGTAGTGTTAACTACGTACAATTGTTACTAAAAATGAATAGAGTTCAGGCTTGGTCAAATACAAAGTTAATCGCTCTCGATTTCTTTGATAATACTTACTACTTTACCGTCAGTTCGCGCTCGAGTCGATGGCCAAGTATGCCTCGCCAGTCTCTCCGGCGATCTATCCTCATCTTTCATTGGTATTGATGACGATTGGCCTTTTCTTCACTGGGTGGTTCTTCGTCTATGAGGTGGCCGCTACCAAGTACACGCGACAGCTGTACAAGGTAAGCAACAGACAAGCAACTTTTCGACATAAAGAAAAAGAGCGTAAATATAACGCAGAGACTGCTGCACAACTTGCCCAGTTTTGTCATTAACAGGCGAAAACTGAGGGATGCACGTACGCACGCCTCCCCCAAGACATATACATATATATGCATGCATGCATGCATGCAGTGGATCTGCTGGAAATTTCGAAATATTTTTGGTCATTCTTAGAAAGAGAGGAATAGATATATTTAATAAGAACAAACATGAATTTATATAATTTTTATCGCATACTGAAATATTTCTGTTTTATTCATTAGGGAAATTCGAAGGCATAAAACTGACATTTACCATTTAGTAATTACATGTTCCTGCCTTTTTCTATTGAATAGATGAATTTTCTATTGAACTTCTGACCTTACTGGGCTTAAAATACGTCAATCGCCTGTTCAATTTTAGGTTCCTATCTTAACTTAATGAGCGAAATGGCAGAAACCCCAGAAATTTTCATGACCTTAGGGAGGAGATGTATGGACATTAAAAAAAAATTGTGTATACAAAATCGCGCCGAGACATGCTTTTTATAGCGGCCAAGCACTGTTGATCCATCGGTAGGAAACGATTGATGGCGAAACCTGCAATTTGTAACTAAAAAATAATAATTTTTATGCTTTGTTGAGTGGAAACAATAAGACAAAACTGTTTGTTTTTTGCCAGATAGGGAATCGTACTCGAAATATAGGGTAGGAGGCGGATTGTTTTAGAGGCTAATTTCTAAAGAGGTCCGCGTTAGTTTTATTACTGATTGCTATGAAAGGCGGAGGCGAAATTTTTGGTGGTTGTTATCGAATTTAAGTAGTCAGATAATGGTACATTAATTTGATCGCTATGATTTCAGGAGTTAGCTATCGCCCTTTGCGCGGCAACGTTTCTCGGCTGCGGAATTCTCTTTTTATTACTACTTGTCGGCATCTGGGTTTAAAGCGGACTAAATGTATTCGTGCGGTATACGGAAGCTGTTGCAATACACCAGCGAAGAACGCGAATGGGACGAGCGTCATCTTCTACCTTTATATATATTATTGACGATGTTTAAATCATCATTATGGTAACGACATTTACGTAACAAGCAACATGCCCCGACGACAGGCTATTTGTTATGGTGCACGAATGAATTCGTGAGAATGGCTGAAAGCTAACCTAATTGTAGTCGTGGGGCAAGAAATCGAATGTGAGCTCGCCTAATTAAATGGGTAGTGACGAAGTTCTCGACATAAAAGAAGGTGGCTTGGCGCAGTGGGACAGCGGCGGAGAAGTCATTCGCTTATCTACCTATATATAAATAGGCAAATAATATGATACGAACCGTAAAAAAATGATTAAAATAAAAGCTAATTTTAAAGTAAATATGCTTATTTTGTGTTGTAGGTTTTTTGTTACCTGTCTATTTTAGGAAATCACAAATTCTTCCCAGAGTTACATTCAAGGTTCCGGCCGGGTTGTCGTATGTATAGATTTCATCGGATTGTGGATGTCTAAATTGCAATTCGAAGTTTATCATAGATGTTCGCACTGCACACCATTTTTTGTGGGAACGGATCAATACGTTCTAAAAGTATCATTCTTGGACTGTTGTTTGATTCTCGACAAGTAAATTTTGTTACCTAATTGTATATCCTATGGCCCGCGCTATGAATAACCAGAAGATTTTCAAACCACGGTTTGTGACACGGTAGCGTGGTGTAGTTACAGGGATCAATCCGAAATCTTTTTGAGAAACTTACTTAAACGTAACAAGATCTCGTTGAACTACACGCACACACAGTCCAAGTATTGAATACGACTAGGAGTTTAGGGGATAAACTGGATTAACTAAAGAGCAATTTCATCAGAGCAAGGACCAATCGCCTTTACATCCGCATCGTTGTTCACTGCTAAAAACCTATGTGACCTGCAGGTTTCCAGGATCTTTTCAGAACACCAAGATTTAAGAAGAGCATATACAGAGGTTCATGATATAGTTGACACGTACCACATGTAGGTTCGGATTTCGCAGCTCCGTCACGAAACGAACAATTTAATCGGCAAGCTGTTCATCTTCTTCAAAAAATGAATCATGGTTTCTATTGTTGCTGATACTGTAAGTTCATCAAATGATTGTACTTTATGGAAAAGGAAAATATTCAACGCTGGAACGGTAGGAAGAGGGGCCAATGTTCTCTGCTACTTGTGGCCAGAGTCTCCTAAATGAGGGAAAGCAGCATTAGTCTTTGCTAAATTCGAAATAATAAAAGGAAATTCCAGAGAGAATTCTGACATGCTACCCAACTTCGCTTGATATCATGTATGAAAAAAATTAGTTTGAATGAATATCGACGTATTCCGTGCTTAGAAATAGCATAATAGAAAACTAACTACCTTATGAGCAGAAGACAGTGTTTAC